ATCAAGAAGGAAATGAACATAGAAGTAGAGGAAATCAAAGGCGGAGTTCAGGCAGAAATCAGCGAGATAAAAACCAAATCGTTAATTCTGCCAACTCCACAGAAACGGTTACTGAAAAGTCAATTCCGGAACATATGTTGCCGTTCTCCAACGACAAGACACAAGTGTTTTGTAGACGGCGTCATCAACAACGAGCTTTGCACCATGCTGCTAGATACAGGTGCTACGAGAACCATTCTTGGGCCAACCTTCACCAAAACACCGGCAAGAATTGAACCGTCAAGCTGGAAGCTACGCATCGCAACAGGGGAGCCAGCCACTGTACTTGGAGAACTACCAATTGAATTGGTGTTGAGCAGCACTGAATTGAAGCATCATGCATTGGTGGCGGACATAGAGGACGATGCGATCATTGGAATGAACATAATGAATTCCAGAGGGTTCGAGCTGAATTTTGAAGACGGCGTCCTCTGGGCCTCTGGGCTCGATAGGTTGGATTGGAGAATTGTGAAAAGCATGTTGAAAACGATCTTCAGATCCAGTGGCATCAAGATTTTGGTGTGCCGTAACCATCTTTCACGACCGAGCAAGAAGACTGTGGAGTGTTACTTCCATCAAACTTCACAGTGCAGATATCTCAGCCAGCAAACGCATGACATCACCACGAAAGAAGCAGTATGACTCGCCGGGAAAATATTAGGCGAGAACAGAAACCACTATATAAATCTAGAACGATCGTTACCGATATATAAGCCCTGCTTTCCGTTCAGAGGTTGCAGTATGAATTCAGAAAGCGAATCGTGCCTTTAAACAAGGAATTCAAATGGTGAAGATAAATTAAGCGTTGAGTACTAAGTGTTGAATATACATTATTTTGTGTAGTAAAATATTGTTAGAAATAAATTTGTTCAAGACAGTAAATTCTTCAATTCGTTACAATAGGTTATCGACTAATTTATTAATGTCCTTTGACGTACCTTAATTACTCCAATCAGTTTCCTCTATATCTCTGTACAAAGATGGAAAGTTCGCTTTCCTAAAGTTATATGTGATGTTTGATTGGTTTAACTTCTTTTTGATGTGTATATCAGCTATTTTGATAGGATAGGATGGTGGTTATCTTCAGGTACAAAAAGCAAATTTTCATGGGTAACATAACAAGAAATAGGTGAAAAAACTAGATCTAACATTCTGTTCAGGTAATCAGTTATACAGTTTCATTGTTTATACTCAAGCATGTCAAAGTAGTTGGGGGTTATACGTGTTTTTGGATCATTAACAGGGATGTTCCGATGAACTTCGGAACATTAAAATCGCAAAAAAAAAAGAATTAGCCTCATATAAATAATCTAACTGTTCCAAGGCACCAAAAAACATTCAAATTTAACTAATCCAATCGTATCAGGTGTATACAAAGGTATCAAGGAGAATGTTTATGTTCCAAATGACATTTAAATATTTAGATATCAACCAAAGAAACTGTATATTAAATGTATTATTATACATTACTTCTGAATCTGTGAAGTCCCTTGAAGCAATTAATACACCTTCCCCTATTACCTCATTCATCATTTCCAGTTTGCGATCTTTTCGATGTACACAGTGAGCGCTTGTAAAGAGTTCACAATTTGAAACATTCTCACGCAGCCAGGTTTCAGTTAATACAATCAAATCAAACTGACAGCTGCGTAGAATGAGTCAATTTTACTGTTGAGACCCCTAACATTCTAATTATAACATAAGATGCTGCGTTGGTTTGGTTTACTATAACTGCTGGACGCATTTAGTTCAAAGCTTTAACTATTCTGGGGTTACCATTAACACTCTCAATTATATACTTCTGTAGACCCTTGACATTTTTTGCATTAATTTCCTCTTTCAGCTTCCTGTAATGTTCAATTTGTCTACGGGTGCGGTCCATTATATGGACTGTTTTGCAGTTTTTTTTTTCTTTTCTTATCAGATCAAGGACCTGCAGCACTGCAGCACTATTTTCACAGGATGATTTTTTTTTCATGAAATCCACCCAGTCTAATTGGTTTCAAATTCTGTTGTTGGAAGTTTGGAACAACTGTCTTCAGTACTTCACATACATCGAAAACATTTTTATCTAAACGAGTTTGAGGCTGATACGATTGATTTTGTTCTGGTAAACGAAATGTTATTGAATTCATCTTTCAATTCCTTCTTTAATTCCTTCATAATATCTTCAAATTCTATAATAGGCGAAGGTTCAGTAGTGGTTCTCAAAGTACCATTTTCAGCTTTTAGAGCTTTAATATCCGCTTGTAATGATAATATAAGACTCCTCAAATCATTAATCTGACTACCAATGCTCCTGCAGCCCGAACAAGACCATGTATAACCTTTATCCTGTTCACACAGGATCTTAATTTCCTCTACTGAGAGGTTTACACATACATGCCGGAAAAATCGCATGCAAACCGAACATTTCACCATTAGTTTCGATTTGTGAGATTTGTTACAACATGCGCAAATTATATTTGACGGCATTTAATTTGTTCTACTTCTTGCAAAAAAATATTCGGTGATGATAAGCACATTTACTATTTAATATGTTTTCAGATTTAACTGGCCTCTGGTAGGGTACGCCTCTGGTAGGGTATTACTTACCCAATTGTAATAACAGATGTGGCTAATTGCAAGCAATTTACGGCTTAGACCCAATACACTGAAGCAGTACTGAATCAGTACAGTACAGTTTCACAGAAGCAATACTCCTAAAACACCAGAATTGTAACACTCTTCTCGAGTGTTGCCTACCAACACGAATAAAAATGAAGTTTTTCCAACACTTCCGGTTATAAATCGATTACAACACCCTGTATATTCTTACATTTTTGAATACCTGTCATAATGATAATGTGAGTTTTTGCACTACACCCTATACCAAAAATGAACATTCATTTGTTTACTCAAAAAAACTAGGTAATCGGCCCTCGAGTGATTTCCCCATAAAATTTAAAAGTTTGATAGAGTACATAAATCAGCAGTAGGAGATTTGAGCCGGTTCTAAGCCTCCCCCTACAACTATGACGTCACGTGGGGTGAATGACCTAGACCCACTCATGTGACCTTGAGATTACAGCCGGTTCTGGACCTCCCCCCACCACTATGACGTATTATTTGCTTTTTTTTTGTTGTTTAGTAACATCAAGGCGATGTGACCTTGAAGTGTCTGGTGTCTGGGTCATTCAGAATTTATTTCATATGAGAGAGATTTTGTGTGTGTGACATAATGACGTAATTACATTTGTTTTGGTACAGGGTTGTTGTGTGTGTGTGTGTGTGTGTGTGTGTATGTGTGTGAGCATGTGTGTGTGAACGTGTGTATGTCGGCCCCTTCAATTCACATATGAAAAAATGGGTTGGTTATCAAGGTCATAAACAGATTGTCGAAAGCGGATACTTTAACTATCTGACCCTGAGCCTATGGGAGTGCTTATAATCCTCTCGAAGTTGACAGAAATGCTATTGTCAGGATCACGACGAGACCAAACATAGGACGATGTCAAAACCATTCAGTGGTTATGTGGTTGTTCAGCATATGTTTTTATTTCGAATAGGTCAATGTTGGCGTCATATAGGTATGAAGAAGACTATCTTTAGAGAAATGTCTTGGTATGAAGAAAGATCGATTTGGGCAAGTCTTTCAACAGTTTTTTGTAAAATATTTGATTAAAGTGAAAACCATCACCATTGAATCACTCATCATAATAAGCTCTTCTTTAGTTGAAAAAAATTTAATTCGACATGGTAAGAAAACATGTGGACTTTTTTTTTGAAACCGCAAATTATCGAAGCATGCTCATTACGAATAACTTTTTTTTTCTAGCTACTCGATATGCCAATTTTCATGCAATACGATAATGAATTCATTGAAGCTCTTTGCTGAGACGATCCACCAGTGACAGCTGCTCAAATTTCAATATCACAACAGCGCATGAGACGGCACGAGTAGTAAAGGAGCATCATGCACCTACTTCAAAATTGTGTTGGTATGTGGGAGAAGGCTGATCAAAATTTGCAAAGTCACACTCAGGGTCATGTAACGTCACGAGTAATGGATGGGGTGTGATTGGAACTATTCCAAACATACAACTTATGTTTTAATCGCTTCTCTACATCCCTCTTGATAATTTTAAGAAATATCATAATGGTATTGAAATAACTTTCAGAAAAGGGTGTTGTTGTACACGACCCTAGTAAATTATTGCATATTCGGATATGTGACGTCACGAGTAATTGTGGAGCGTGATACCGACTGTAAAATCGTGTTGGTGTGAGGGGACACTGTGTCTTTGCTCCGATTGAATGCGTCAACCGTCTGCACACGTCCTATAAAAGCACACACTCTCCACTGTCACTTTGATCTCGAGGGCAGAATATCAAGGTCGAACTGAATTTTCGAAGCAAAACTCAATTTCTGAGGTCACAGGACAGACTGCCAACGTGAAACTCAGTTTTCGAAGTCGCAACTCTAGGTCATGATGTCATCAACGTCACTTCAAGGTCGCATGCCGCTCAAAGTCGCGTGACGTCATTGAAAGTCATATTGCATCATAATATATGATACCCTTATATAGAAACTCACCATATAAAACAGGAAGGGGTTTGAGATAATGTATGGCAGTCGTCATGTGTCGAGGACAGAAGCGATAAGGTCGAGATCATATGGTGTGACATCATTCGAAGTCAAACATCAAGGTCATGTGTCGAGCAAGGTTGATTCTCAAAGTCAAACCTCTCAAGGCCATATTACATCGGATGTGAAATATAAAAAAATCTGGGGTCTACTTTCATGAAAAAATTTAAGTTCCTTTTTCATATCCAACAAAACTGCTTGTTTCCACATACCTGAACTGATACATTATTTTCTACGTGGGACGCCATCAGCAAGTAAACTGCACTAGAAGATCAACGTATATACATTTGTTATAAGCTGTTAGAACAGTTCAGAAACAGTTTATTATTCACAGGGTATTTCCGACGGTGCAGCTGCTGTTGTATTGGCCAGTGAAGCATCCATATCTAAACATAATCTGAAACCATTGGCTAGAATTGTGGCACACAGTACAGTAGGAGTTGATCCATCTATAATGGGCATCGGACCAGCACCAGCAATACAGAATATACTCAATGCTACAGGAAAAACTTTAGATGATATTGACCTGATTGAGGTGAGTTATATGTCTATGAAAATTTCAACGCTTTTTCGATATGTCTATATTGATTATGCTGGTAATTATAGCCCCTCCTAGGACATTTTGCAATGTCTCTTTCGATAATTTCAACTGAACTTCAAATTCAATAATCATGTCTAATTAAATAAGTATCACAATAACTATATGTGAATAAAGATGATAAATTTTACCTAAAGAAAAATGGCCCAATTATTTCGTTAAGTATCGTTAAGTATCCCACACCATACATTAGTTTTGAAGGAATACTGATCACCACATTCAACTGTGAAATTGGGATTTTCTTGGGCCCACCAATGGCAATTTTGATAACTTACCGTTCCCATTTGAAGAGAACGTTGTCCATAAAATTTTATACGGAAACTTTACATTTTCTCCTCTCTCTTTCCTTGAAACCAGAATGAAAACCCGAAACGGACATCAAAATCTCATTCTTTCAATGTGGCCTTACAAGCCAAAATTTATTCTTTAATGAAATTTCTCTAACACTTTCTCTCTTGTAATCGGTATTTTTTATAATATCGGTTATGCTCGTTTGCCCGTGTTCAATAACTTTTAAACAAATGTTAAGTTGGGCCTCCTCATCATATTTACTTGGAGTATGCTTTTTCTTAAATTGATTTGCTACGGATTCTGTTTCTCTGAATTTCGACATTATCCTTGACACAGTAGTATGTTGAACATGTTTTCCTGGATGCCGTTCATTAAAAATGTTAGCTACTTGCCGGTATGGTGTATTCTCACCACATATTGAAACTATTTCTATTCTTTCCTGAAGAGACAACATTATTGCATCAATAACTGTTAAAAACTTGACAAGTAAATCAACAACTCTAGTAATTTCATTATTACGTATTACAATTTTTGAGTTGTGTCTGCTTTTTCAAAATTGAAGGTACTGACGTTTGTTTAAGAAAATAGCCAAGTGATTGAAACTTTGCACCAGTCATGTTAAACTTTTTATAGCACATTTTTAATTTCTCTCTAAAAATGTCCGTATGAGTAAAAATTTATCAGAAAAGTTAAACTCCATGATGAGTTTGTTATGTATACATGAATTGATGACAATTAACCGAACTTGTTTTTTAAAATAAAGGGGATATGTGTCAAAAATAAGTAAAACGTTAACTTTATCCTAGTTGCATAAAATTTGGCATATGGATATAACATTGCCGTAGACACAACTTTTTCAAGTATCTTTTTGTTAAATTCGATCTAGAAATGCACTTTTTCGATTTGAAAAAATAAAGTTGAATTTGACAAACACTGAACGTAAGTGGGTTGCAGTTGGCCGCATCATTTTAAGTTAAATTCAAAGCACAAACAAGTGCCGAAGTTAAACTTCATTGAAACTATAAAAAAAAAGATTCCCATATGGTGCAAACCGCGGACACGTGTTTCTGGCTATTGGCCTCATGCGCGGTGCAGCCAAGTGTAAAGATGGGCAACACTTGTTTGCCGAAACCAGGAAACAACATAGACGCACAGAGTCAACAACATGAGCCAACTGCACATTTGTGGTTCCAGTTAGAAGACCTAGAATTCCCAGGCTACATCTAACATGACCAAGTAGGCAGCTATAGCTACCTGCGTGACATCTGGGTCCAGGATATAAATACAGAGAGACAACAAGTGTTGCCCATCATTACACTTGGCTGCACCGCGCTGATGAGACCAATAGCCAGAAACACGTGTCCGCGGTTTGCTCCCCTTTTTGGAGTGTTATGTCCACTATTTGTTACATTTTTTATTTGTATCATACACACTCGATAAAATTTCTCTCTGTATTTATATCCTGGACCCGGATGTCACGCATCTAAAATAAATATTCGAATAATTACCGTAACATTTTTCCGCTTCGTGGATCCCTTCTTAGATACGCACAAAAGAAGATTGCACGATAAAAGATCTGAAATTTTGAAACTTCGTTCATAATAATTTTTTATATTAAACAAAAAAATAAAAAACAATAATTTTGTAAAAAAAAATATCTTAATTCATCATTATTTTATCATTTTTATATCAGTAAAAGACATTTATAAACTAAAACAAATAATTTTTATCTCCATTTGTTTTATAATTTTTTCTTAAACAAATAGACTATTTTGATATTTAAAATTTTTTTTTCACAACTTCCCAGAGAACTGAATTATGATAAATCAAAAATTCTCAATAATAGTATTTAATTGTTTATAATCGTTTTTTTATATATCTACTGTTTGAATGATCAATTAAGACATTTTTTTCTTTTCTAAAATCATAATTAACAGTTCTCTACAAAATAACAGAATAAAATTCATTAACAATCCCATAGTTCATCAACTCAACAATTTGTTATAAACAAATTCTCCTCTAAGCTTTATTTTTTTCTTGAAAGTTATAATAATTACAAGAACAACCACTAGCATAAAAATACCGAAAACAATTTTTTTCCATTATTTATTCAATTTTGAAAATACACTTGCTGCAAAAATTGCAGCAGCTGATCCATTTGTTGACTTTAATGCTCATATAACTTTTAAACTATTAGAGACACAACAATAAACATTCAGATCATTTTTGTAGATAATTTGATTATCTTTCAAATGTTTTCTTGAATATATTCTTTAGTTATTGGTAATTTGTTGTTTTAACCATTTGTTTATAAAAATTTTCTTCGATATTTTTATGCTCTTGGATGTTTTTATAATTTTTATAACTCTCAAGAAAAATTCAAAAATACTTATAGTTTACCAACTATGAACAACAAAACTGAACACTGCTTTTCAGGGTCTTTAATTGTTTATACCTTTTAGAATTTTTTAGGAACTGATTTCATTTTTTTTTTCACAATGATCTAGATAATATTCCGGATCGAATGAGCCTAACCACTTAATTTTACTAAACGTATGTCCATTCAATACGAATCTATAAACTTAAAGTCCAGACTGAATGATTGATTACAGTTGATACCAATGGTTGTGACATTGAAGAGACAACAAAATGATCTTGTATTCGAATGTGAAATTACTGATTTGACTCATTCTATTCCATTTGTTGTTTTTGTTTTGGCATCAAGCGACGTTCGAGAAAAATATGTAGTCATAGGCAGATTCGAATTCAAAACCTGCTGGCACACTATTGCTGTGCCGTTTCACCACTAGTATTAGGTAGCTGTAATTTTTGATAATATTTTACATCAGCTTGTGAATTTTTCACTTCAAAGAATGGTTGAGTCTTGAATAAGTGATCGAATATATTTTTACTGGTTCTATCGCTTTTGATGAAGGGCTAAATGAAAAATTCAGCTCAATTGAAATCTCCTTCGACTTTTACATTGATATTTTAAAATGTTTAATTTCATCCACAAAACTGTTTCTCAATTAATAAAATAAGCCTAATGCCTCTGAAATTATAACAAAAATTTTGTTGTCGTTTTTATGTGTTTTTCATTGACTACTATAGTAGTAGGGTGTGTACTACTATAGTAGTCAATGAGTAGGGTGTGTTACTAACTCTCTGAGCCACACCTGGGAGCATCATGGCTATTTGTAGTTCCGCCAGCCATGTTACGTAGGAGAATCAATCCTCCTTCATTAGATAAATAATAAATGGAAGGAGAATCTGAAAGCAATTATTCATTTAATAAAGAATAACGAAGTTTGACTTCGTGATAATGAGCTGTTGAAAGCATGGTTCGAAATATCTGTCTATATACCGGGTACCAACGAAATCATATATAACACATGTGGCCATTTCTATCGAATTTAGCATGACGTCACATACAGAAATATTGTCAAACTCGATGTAGGATGCTAACGTCGAAGTTTGCTTGGTTTTTAAATAAAAGTTTAAAAATTGAAGTTTTTGATTCACCCACGTACTGTTTATCAATTTTGTTTAAACGCCATTGTTTACATCATTTATCTCGAAAATCTAAATAGAAATGTGTATTTTTTGAACTTCGACTTCGAAATGACTCTCTTATACTACAAAAAGGTGTCACAGATAGTAATCTGTTTATTTTTATCTGCCAGTGGAAACGTGAAGGTATCAAAGCTCTCATTATGGGATAATAATTTCATAAAAATGACACTTTTCACCGGTACAGATAAATGGACAGCACAATATCATTTTTTGTAGTAAAAGAGGTACACTTCGATGTTCAGAAAATACCACTTCCTATTTAGATTTTTTATATCGTTGAAGTGAAAATTGGCATATAATAAGTTGTTTAACGTCATAGTACCGCCATATTCAAATAGAAATGGTCACATGTGTTATTATCGTTTAAAAGAGAATTTTATTTCTGATCAAATGGTTGAAAAAAATATACAGAGTTCTATTGGAAATTCTTGACTTGGTTTCATTTCCGGTTGACCTAGTGAAGATCTTCACGAGTTTTATTATAAAAAATATCAGCTTCGAAGAACTCCGAATTTCAAATTTCTTACCACATAAACAATTGAATGGCACCGTGTACAATGATTTCGTTGTCACCCGGTATAGCAACTTCACAAAAGGAATCGACATGCCTACTTTCTATTTATAGTCTAGTTAGTTCACATGTACCATTTTTTTGAAAATATGAAATTTTTTATATAATCTCCGAAAGTCACGATCAGGAAAATTAAAAGTTGTGCATTGGAAAGACTTGGAATTTTTTTTATAAACAACAATAAAAATGAATAATAGAGCTAGAACTCAAATGNGTGTATATATGTCCTCACATTGTTAGGATCTTTGAAAAATATATACGGACCTCACTTCAATAGGAGAATTGTACAGCCCTCACTCTGTAGATGTATATTGAAAAAAAATTTCCTATTCAAATTTTTACGAGTATATTTTCCATTTTTCTATTGGAAAACAGAGGCCGCGGCTAGGTTAAAAGTTAGAACATTCCCAGTCAACTCCTTCACCCGGTCCTCACTTGGTTAGGACTGAACTGTGTCCTCACTTTGATAGCTGACTTGAGCAAATAGATTTCTTGAGATTATTTTGGAATTTGGATGAGGTAAAGCATAACTCCTTTTCTTTTACTTATAGGAATAACTGAGAGAGGAGAGAGTTTTATTGACATTGACATTTTTTTCGAGACAAAAAAATGACGGTAGTGTATGACAAGTATATGACATCACAGTATGACAACTTTATAGGACACAACTTATATTTTATGTTGTCCTATTTAACTTTTAACAGTTTTCAAGCTCATCCGTAATATACAACAAAGCCTTAGATATGCGAAAGACAAATGAGATCCACTATCAGCTGTGGGGGTTATATCGATACCATACACCTGTGGAAAAAAATACCCATGGATATAAGGCTGAATGAACATTGGAGAAACTGTAGATTAGGTCAAATAGACAAATTGGTGGTAGCGGAACACGCGTTCAGTGAAGGAGATCATGTGATACTGTTTAAAGATTTGAAACTACTTGCCCCCGATCATGGATACCACAGTTGGCTCGAACGGGAAGCCATAGAAATCCATAAACATACGAAAAAGCACATCAGAAAAGAGGAGGCGGTAACGCTTAACCGAATTTGGAATACCATACTGAAAGATGCTCAAGGAGCAACAGCGCAATGCTATGTTACATCATTACCAGATAATATAGTACTCCGGCCAATAACAACGCATCAATAAAAGAGACTGACTACCTGAGTCAATATAAATACAACCTACGAACTAGAAATCACCAGTCATCGGTGAATCATCAAATTAATAAATCTCTGAAGAAGCCAACCGCTCATGCTGGTGAAACGTAAGGATGCAGTTCCAAACTACGATGGCCTTACAACCCGAATGAAGATAGTAACACTGCAGTTATGTCGTAAACCCATTCATGTACTATTATCTGCTTCACAAGAATCATATACATTTTGGAGTGTGGTTTGAAAAGGAGGCTAAGTCTCAATGGTAGTGACGTCGCAGTCATTTTTTAAAATTCGATTTTTTCTAAAATGAAGCAATTGGGTGATTCTTCATGATGAATGAACCAATTTTTTTTAAACTAACGGACACTTTTGATTTCATCTTTTTTTTTTGGAAAGTATTATCATAAATAGTGTTATCGATTTTCATAAGTAGTGGGTCAGTGTATTTATTTAGTGTATTTATGAAATAATTGAAAAAGTGCTGTGCAATTTTATGAAATTGGATCAAAATCGTAACTTGGTTACCTTTTAGTGAATTTCATGAATAAAAGCAATTTTTCATTGGGTGTAGGTTGTTTGGAATAATAACCACTTTGTTTCATTTTCATTACTTCATTGACTTATTTCGTATATACAAATTGATGGCGCTTATGTAATTTATATTGTACTGTATTCAGTTCCCAAATGAACGTTTATCTACCACTTAATTGATTAGTAGACGTTCGGACAGTTTTCTGGGGATTACTGAGAACTTTACCATCTGTCAACATCAACATTTTCCATTATTACAAGTGACAATTGTTCACGAGCAGTTAATCGTTTATTACCCAATAATTAGTCCAAATACAAAAAAAAAATTAATGAAATACGATTTACTTTCCTCGTGGAATAATAACACATTGATAATAATAACCTCCACATTTCTCGCAGTTAACTTTGATACGTTTTGGCTCCCTAGCGTTATGCTGTCTCCTACGTTGCGCAGATTCTGTTTCGACTCGAAACTCATACACTTGTTCCGTCAGCCAGCTATTGAAGTAATTTAATAACTCTTCTTGGGCAACTTTGGTGAACATAATCCCTTCATAGCACATCTTGACTGCTTTCTCAAATAGCAACTTGTATCTCTTTGCCTCAGATCCGTCAAGATCTGCGAAACACGGTTGGTAGAATTTGGATTCTCCCGTCTCACACCACATTTCATACTGTTTCCCCAAGTTGGATGCTTTGACTAGGAAGAACTCCATTACCAAACTGAGTATGTTGTAGCAGTAGGGTTGATCAGGGAATACCTCCTCCAAGGTTGTTCTTATTGATTCTGAGAGTGACGTATAGAGTTTTGTCATTGCTATGATGATCATCTTCTGAATATTACCGTCGTATGCTCCCATCATCTTCACAGCGAACTGCGAAAACTGATCGGTAGTTGGAATCGCCAACTTGTTGATGGAGAACTGCCTTTGCATCATAAGCACGTCCGAGTGTGATATCACAGATTTCGAAGGCAATTTCGACAAGAAAATACCCACGTCTTTTTTACTCATGCTGGTGAAGTCGTTCGTATTTATTTTCTGTCCGTTCATCGTGAGATCACCGCCGCTGGCATAGAATTTCACCCCTTTTTGATTCATGGCTTTGTTAGATCTTGTCAACGCTGCGAATACTTCGTCTTTATTCGGGAAGTTACGAACCGCTGATATCACCTCGGCTTTTCCTTGGACTTTGTTGCCGTTATTTCTGCGGATGGTTTCTTTCATCATTTTGTTGAATATTTTCCTGTGAAGAAAATACAAAGATGTATAAGTAACTGGAAGAAGATTGAACACAGAACAAAAATTCAAATTAAGGAATAGATCAGTTCGAGAATATACTTATATCAAAAAATCCAAATTTTATCTTTGGTATATTTGTTATTTTCGATACTAGTTTTATGGTTGGTAATTTGATTAATGTATGGCTGTTTTCTCCATCATCTATGATGTAAGAGATCTCACCTTTCAGTTTTCCCTCAATTTTAGGGGATGGTAATCACCTAATCAGCGATACTTCTCGAACTCCCAGTAGACTGTATTGGAGAAAACTTTGCAATGCATTCGAACGAGATTTTATGTCTCTTTTCATTGTGCTCGGCCGACAACCGAAAGAGTACTGATAGAACTTTCAACGTGGACCCTTTAGACCAGTGGTCGCCAACCCCTTCAATGTGTTGAGCTACTTTGTTAATTTTGGAATAAAGTTTAATTTCTCTGTAATGTCCACGAGAAAACCAAAATCTCTAAGTCAGATTGAATTTTCTAGTTCCGGAGTCGGTTCATCGCGTGGTTTGAAAAATTGAACTATGCCAGATAGGACATTATTAAAACGTTTCAGCACCCGTCCTCTACTTAACCATCGGACTTCAGAGTGAAGGAGTAGGTCCCCGTATTGACAGTCAACTTCATCGGCCAAGGTTCTGAATAATCTTCTTTGTAACGCTTGACCTCTAATCTTGTTCACAATTTTTACCACCAGTTTCATAATGTTGTTTAGTTTCAGGAAATTTCCACATAATGCTTGCTGATGGATAATGCAGTGGTAACAAAGAAATTGCGGAAAAGTTTCATCTCTACGACATAACGCCACCAGACCCTTACCACAACCCACCATAGCTGGAGCGCCATCGGTTGTCAAGCCTACCATTTTCGATATTGGAGTTTTCTCGGAAGAAATAATATTTTTAAATGAGAAAACAACTCATGTTCAGTAGTGTGTTCTTTCAGTGGAATGAACTTCAAAAGATCTTCTTTAATCGTAAAATCACTAAAAACCATCCTGACGAACACGGCCATCTGGGCAGTGTCAACGACATCTGTTGATTCATCCAGTTGAAGTGAAAAATAAACACAGTTATCTAAGTCAGTTCTTAACTGAAAAAAAATATCATTGCTCATTACTTCTACACGTCTCATCACTGTATTAGCAGAAAGTTGCATAGATTTTATAGCTGAAACTATCTCGTCTTTATTTCTAAAGTTGGCAAATAACGAATCAGCAGCTTCTAAAAACGCCTGTTTTATCATTTCCTCGTCTTCATAAGGTTTCTTTTTTTTGTGCAATTATCTGGGACACACGGTACGATGCTTCAGTTGCAGCCTTATTTTTGTCGACTGTTCTTAAAAATATTGATTGTTGTCCAATTAACTGCTTTTTTAACTGTTTCAGTTTCTCCTTTCTGGCGGCAGAATGTAGTGGGAATGATTTTTCAAAATTAGAATGTACAGTTTTATGATGTCTCTCAATATTTCCTTTTTTAGCAACGGAGACCGAAGTATTACATAACAAACACACATTTTTATCTTTAACTTCTGTAAAAAAGTATTGTTCTTCCCATTCCGAATGAAAGTGGTATATCTTTACCTTCTTACAACTGCTTGCCATAATATTATTTTTGTTGTTCTCTACTAACCCAACCGCTGGACGTTGGTTACGCGTTCAGTTTTAAACTAAGCGCAATGTCGCCGCGCCGTGCGTATTTATCCCGTTCAAAGCAATCCAGATCGTTCTCGAACACTAACGCGCTGATCCGGCTGGTCGGTTCTAGCCGATTATAGCTTGATGGCGTCAGCGGCAGATCGCTCACCGCAATGTTGCCGCTATTTATGTTTAATATTATGACAATTAGATTTTTTGTGGAATTTTCGGAAGCTTCTCTGATTTTTGCAGTTTGTATTTTTTGAATTAAAATCGTTGTGAGAGCTACCAGAATTGCCTCCGCGAGCTACCGGTAGCTCGCGATCGACAGGTTGGCGACCACTGCTTTAGACTTTCCGCAAATGTGCTCTGAATATTTCTATTAGGAAGAGAGAAACGAAAGTAATAATTTCCAAAAGTATGAAACTTTCGGAGCTGTCTGCAAAGCTATGCGGCTGGCAAGAACCAAACTGACAAGAAAAACAACGAGATACTGTTATATTTGAGAGATTTGTGAGTTCTTTCAAAAATCTAAACTATAATTCTCAAATATGTGAAGGGACGTTTGATCCCACTTCAAGCCCAAAGTTTATAACTGTTATATATTCAGCAGGAAACGAAATAAGAGCAAACAATTCCAAAAGATCAAACAATTGGAGTCACTTCTGACAAAATTATTTTTTGGAATAGCCTCTATCTAAATATTGAACTCGATATAACAACTTGTCTAACAATGGGTTCCAGTTGAGCACAAGACTTGTAACAATCAAACTTTCAGAGTATTGACAATCTGATGAGGGGGAGGTGTAAGAGAAAATTCATGTTTTTTCTGGCCCATTTTCTCAGTTTAAATCCAGCCCTCTTCTGGAAGGCAATGGACTCTTCTGCAACCGCTTATAATATTATCTACATTTCTTTACCAAACACAATATTCTGTCGGTACATCCATTTAATATTCACGATGTATATAATTGGTTGGTGAATAATTTTAATTTTGTCTTTCTGGAGTTTTTTCCTAACCAAAAGATTATCATTCAATAATGTATCTAAGGCAATTTACTTGATACATGGATTTTACTTTCCCTTCCCCACACACTGGTGGGGAAGGTACAAATATTATCAAATGACAAAGGAAGACTCACTGCCACCATATGATTATTCATTAGGTAATTTCCAAGGAACGCTAAATAGACGAAATTCAACTTAGGGTTCCATAGTAAACGTTTTTCTAAGGAATAGAAACGTGAGGGCAAGTGATTGATTATCACCCTAATACGGATTGGAAGTTTCAAATGGGAGAGAAACAATATCGGCCAGAAATAGTTCGAGTATGAAAATAGATTCAATTTGTTTTATTTCAGGAGTCATTGATAAGTTATGAAGGATATCCTCTAATTCTCAAAACCTTCTCATTTTCATTCAAATGTAAGATCCACGAGCAGCTAATATAGTATGAGCAGAAACTGTTCATACTATGACAACTACTTTCCAACCAAAAATGTCCATTCGTTTCTTCGCTTTTTCTGAGATTTTTCCGATCCAAAAATGAAGGAAAAATATCTTGATCCAAAATCATATCTACAGAACATGCTGGCGTATCAGAACAAATTATTGTTAAAATGATAGTTTCAATTTCAATAGTAGGAGTGGTTTGATTATAGGGTTTTATAGTCCAAAACATCATTCAAGAAGCAGAATAGTTTGTATAATAGTGTCCAGTATTGGTTGATAAAGTATTTGAAGAGAAGAAGACTAGCTAAGTAGAGGAGTATTCTCACTGTATGCGATAAACTATGAATATCGAATACGTATGGTGTACAGTTATCCACTATACAGTGCTTGTACAGTGAATAACAAGGCTGTATTTGAGTTGAGAACATTGGTTAAAGCTTGATATGTTAACTGGAATGAAGTAGAGCTTTCAATCACAGGGACCAGAGAGATATCTGATACAATATTCGAATTTTCATTTATTTGTTCTTCAAAACTCGAGAGTATGATGCTTCTCATGTTAACCCACAAAAGAGATACAAAGAACAGGATTTCACTATGTGTTTTGATCACAAACAATTCGTTCACCATTTATTATTTTTACTCAATTGATAACGCACTTCAGGAGATGTATACAAAAGTCTCGAGCATTTATGAATGGAATGCTCCATTTCACATAGGCATTATTTGCTGCCCTCAACCGTATTCATTAAAAAAGGTGAGGATGCTTAAAATGTGTTTCATTAATAATTTTATGTGTGATATTTCATTTGAGAACTTGAGTGACCATCCTCTTTATTGATTGCATCAAAGACACAGAATCATAAGCAATACTTTATTTCCCTAGGAATTCATAGAAAGTCGACACCGAGGGATACCGCTTGTGCCATATGTTTCACCGCGAATTTTTTCAGCTTTTCATAACTTTTTACTGAGCATATGAAATTACACAAAATGTCATTTGTCGACTGGGAGTTCCAGATTCTGAAAGAAACTTCAGAAAATAACCAGAGATGTGAATTATTTGAAATACATGTATTTCAGTACCAATTTGGTACTGAAGAGCCTTAGGGCAAGTGTCTTGAGGCAAAACACCGGTGTATACCAGTGAGGATGACAGTGTTCTATGTAAGTGCAATTTGTTACCATTCATTTGAAGTAGAACTCATGTGAATGATATCTGATTTTCATTCCACAACGAATGTTTGAAATACAAACTGAGTAGAGAAAAGTATCTTCTGTAGAATTCAGTGTTCATATTGAAGTATTTGTTTCGAAAGATTTTTTTCTTTCGTATAATTCAATGTTAATATGAAAGTAGCTGTTTCAGGAGGACTTTCTTTCAGTTTGTGTCTGAAAGTTACTTCTTTGCATGATCTACACATCCACTGCAATAATTTCAGAAAGCCAAACTCCTTCCACTGAATATATAGCCAGTATAGAGGCAATATTAATTAATAATGAACAAGACACCAATAACGGAATAAGATTACAAATTGTCAATGCCATTAACAAACATAAAAATAAATTGAACAACAATAAGAACAATAAAAATTGAAAGGATTATATTTTTAGGAGTGATTAATTTTTGGGAAAGAAAGTTTTTGGCTTTCTACTACTCCATCTTGATACAAAAAAAGGATGAGGGAATCTTACAAATATATCTGCAACTTGTGAAAAGTGTTTGAAAACACTGAAAAAAGTTTGAATGCTTCAACCTACAACCAACTTTTTGAACCATTTAATAGTGAGTAAAACTAAGATTTCATTCATATTTCATCACGTAAAACATAATTCATTTCGATTTCATAACTAATAAGCTAATGAAATAGGAT